ACAATTACAAATGATAAACAAAAAGTACTTTCAGTATCTGAGAGTGCTTTAAATGTCCGAAAGTTTACAGACGATCATAGTTATGGGTTTTTCTTTTTTCCTCAGCATTATTGCTGTTTGATTATTACTGATGAGATCATAGACAGTGGCAGCTTTAATAGGCTGCATTCATACTAATGCACAGATATGGAAGCTTTAGCGCAAGTTCTACTAGGAAGACTTAATGCTACGTCAATTAGATCTAGCCAATTGTCACTCGACACGAGAAATATAAAAGCTCTTTACTCACCTTTCCTTGTGTTTGCAGAAACTGACATTGATGTTCCCTTCCATCCTCCCCACCACCACCAGGTTGGCCCTGTCCACGCAGGGGGGTAGGCTCCACCCCTGCCTTCGTCTCGGCAGTAATAGCTGAATCTTCAACCTACAGATTCAAGCTACGGATGGGGCCTACGCCAAAGAGTTCTGTTTTTTTATGTCTTGGTTTTGTAAAATAAATTATTTCGAATCTTATCATCACCTCCTGAGTCTTTCTGGTAGAACTATTTCAACATATCAGATGTTTTGTCTTCTTCTGCAGGAAAAAGCCATGATCAGTTTTTTTCCCACACTAAGCTTGGCTTTTCCAAAGTGTGCCCAGATCTCGATTTAAAAATAGTGGGTGCATTTTTAATACTCGCGTGACAAGCGCGTATGCGAATGACGTCAGTAGGCTATAATCGATTATGGTCTATTACTGCATCGATGCAGAATTGTCCACGTCCGCATCGCGATGCATCGATGCAATGATGCAACGATTAATTTCAACACCCCTGCTTTAAAGGTGTATAAGTACTAGTTAAAAATCAATTTCCCTATGGAGAAAATAAATGGAATCTTTACTTCTGGAACCCGACTGTTGCATTCCATAAAGCATAAATTTGTTCTGACTGGCTGTGATTATGTCGTGTTGAGCAGCATTTTTTATATGGTTTTTAGTGTGCATAGACAAATTACTTGCCGCAAGAAATTTGTTGCATTGCACTTGGTTAGTACACAGTGTGAACCAGCTAAAAAAATCAGCCAGGCTGGTCACCAACATATGTTGTGCTGGTATCCCTTTTAGGCTTCTTAACTAACTTATCCAACATTTGTCAGATCGAGTCTAGTCTAAGAATGCATAAACCAACCTGAAGCATGATAGAAATTAATACTAGTGTAAAGTGTCTCTTTTCAGCAGAGAAAATGCATAAAAAAACAACACACATACAGACCTGTTTCTCTCCACTGGGTTTCCTGTGGGACAGCAGTAACTCTACGGCTCCCACCACTTCTTTGCGAATGGCGTAGAGCAGAGCATCTCCAGTGTTCACCCCATGATCCAGAAGCAGCTCCATCACCTCAAGGTTCTCATTCTCAATAGCGATTAGTAGCGCACTGCGGCCCAGCGGATCCACGCAGTTGACGTCAATGTTGTAATAGACCTCCGCCTCACGTAGTGCATGCTGGACCCCTGCATAGTCACCCTTTTCTACGGCTGAAAGGAACGAGCGCTCCTCTGGAGATAGCTCTACCTCCGCCCGGACGATCTGTAGAGGGATTCTGTCCCGGTACGGAGAGTAGCTGCTCTTTTTGTAGTATAGATGTGACATGGGATTCATGATGGATGCTGATAGAAGAAGGGGGGAAAAAACAGAGAAAGAGACGCTGTAATAAATTAATATTCACTAACAAACAGGAAATGGGCACTTAATAAACAGTGAGTCAGCTTACATGCTGTTTGGCAGTGGAAATAGTATACATTTATAAATTACGTATCTTATCATTCCACAGAAGTAATTTCTATGATCTTGAAATGCATTAAGATATGCTTTTTGAAGTTTAACGTGAGGAAAATTCAATCATAGATAAAAAAAAAAGAAGTGTACTTGTAGACAGATTAATAGGTTTGAAATTTAATTAATTTGATTATTTAATGAAAAATTAATAGGTCAACTACATCTACAAAAAAACTTACTTTAAATTATTTTTAATAGGTTTCTGGGAGTGACTGATGTGTGTGTGTGTGTGTGTGTGTGTGTGTGTGTGTGGAAACATGAGGGTGTTATCACACTCTTTTGTCACTTTTGGTTTAGGGGACGTCATTGTGGGAAACATAGGGGAAAGATGTGAAGAGTTTATATTTTATAATTATGTAATTTGAGAGCTAAATCCAGTGATAATTTGAATCATCACATTCCTTGTTTTACTGATATTTACATATTTTGGTCTTTAAGGGCACCCTGAATTTATTTATTTTTTTTGTCTGCTAGAACAGTATACAGAAGGATTCTGTGATTTGAATTAGAATCATATAAAGCTGCATTATGTGATTTGTTAAAATTAATATATTCATTTTTAGGATATTTTGATTTGTACGTGGAATCTTATAAATTCACTAAAAAGATTTCTTCAGATTCATTCATTGATTCAATCTGCGAATCTTTCTGCAAAATACAGTACATTGTTACACCAGTAGGTGGCAATAATGACAAAATCGTGCATAATCCTGTCTACAAATCTACAACAAACTCATTAATAGAGCATTAATCTATATAATCAATGACACGTTATATAGACAGCATGAATGCTTCTTTCCTAAACTGACCAGAATCATAATCAGAGAATCAAAAACTGATCAGCGTGGATACTGAAGCAACAACATTTGCTTCAGAGTTGTATCCTGACAAATACATAACCAATCATCGTCATAGGTAAACCATTCAAGCCAATCAGCTTTCAGTATCACTTTAGAGAGCCATCAAACCTCTACAACAGGTGAAGAGAAAATTACAATTTAAAGGGGACGTCAAATCCTATTTCATGCATTCTGACTTATTTACACTGCTAAAGAGTTGGATTCTCATGATAAACATGGCCAAAGTTTCAAGAAACGACGGAGTATTTCTGTACCAAATACACTCCTTCAGGGTTCGTATAAGTTTTGGAAAGATTTTTTCGATTATGGCCCTGTATGACGTCATAAAGTATGGGCACTTCTCCCGGAAGAGTATTTGTTTCTGTTTTATTTATGTCAATGTCACAGCTTGCAGACGATCGCTACGCAAAATCTATTGTGCTCGTAACTCTTTAGCTCTGCCTATGGCATTTTTCCAGGAGCTCGACTGTTTTCGGAGAGAAGCTGTACAACTGTATCTGTCTTATAAATCTGATAAAACTAAAGACTCTTCGATGCAGTACTACTCTATAGGTAATCAAGATTAACATGAGATTGGCAGAAACTGTGTTATGTCTCGTTTAAACAAAATATTGATGAAATCCAAATGAATAAAGGCACATATATAAATGGAACACCTTCTGCTCATTGCTGAGTAGATGTTAGATGGAATGGGGCTCTCCATTCATGTATAAATGTTTATATACTTTAAACGTTGATTTATTATAGTTTCAACTCAAGCATTGAGTGGGTGATCTGCAATATTATAATGCCTCGTTAATTATATACTGTAGATAATGGGAATATCACTGGTCTACATGAGCACATAAATATATATTAATTAAACTTGCTTATAGCCTCTTTGAAGACAGTAAAGCATTCACTCGTTTCAAAACACTCCAGTGATTGAAAAATATAATTGAATGGAAGTAAACAACAATGATTCATTAACTTAAAAGATTGATTAAAACACTAATTCATTCATAAAACGCTGATGGTTATTTTTCGACTTTGGGCAGCTTTGCACACTTAGGCTACTTCCTGTCACATGCACACACTCTCAAGTGTTCAAGATCAAAAGTGTGGATACTTGGACAGGAACAAAGTCAGACTACCTACTTCAATAGATTACTTTTACATTTAGTTGTCAAAACTGCTTATTAAACTTACTAGCTTGTTATGTGTGAACAAAATTGGATTTGTGTTTAGACAGAAAATAATGCTGTATTTGTACATACATCAAATGTTAAATGAACGTTATTTTCAACTTAAACATCTATGGACAGTATACCTGGCAATGCTGATGAGGTAAACAAACTGTATAATCATTTTGAAGTCAAGTCAAGTCACCATTATTTATATAGTGCTTTATACAATACAGATTGTGTCAAAGCAGCTCTTCAGTGTCAAACAGGAAAATCGTTTTTTCAATAATGCAAGAGGACAATAACAAACAGTCAATTTTTCAGTTAAAATTAGTTCATTGCTGATTCAGTGATGTCATCATCCAGTTCAGCTCTCTTCCAATAGTGTCTGTGCAATCAAGCCAACAATATTGCCAGAAATTAAGCGTCCCCAACTAAGCAAGCCAAAGGCGACAGTGGCAAGGAAACAAAACTCCATCTGTGACATAAATGGAGAAAAAAACCTTGGGAGAAACCAGGCTTAGTTGGGGGGGCCAGTTCTCTGGCCAGACAAAACCAGCATGGTGTGGTTTAATTCCAGGCTGCAATACAGGTGAGATTGTGCAGAGGACTTGTCTGGTTCCTGTGGTCTTGTCCCGATGGTTGACGAGGTCTTCACAGGGGATCTGTCTCTGGGACTCATCTAGTTGACATGGTCTCCACTGACATTCAGGGCTGTAGAGGTCGTCTCTAGGTGCTGATCCACCATCTGGTCTGGATATGGACTGGATCTGGGTGGCTACGGTGACCATCTGATCTGGAAACGGACTGGATCTGGATGGCTACTGTGACCTTGGAATAAGAATGAAACAGACTAATATTATCGTAGATGCCATTCTTCTTACGATGTAACGAGTACATCGGGTGTTATGGGAAGTGTTCCCGGTTCCAGCAGATAAGTAAGATTTGAACCATGCCAATGCAATTCCAATAATGCCAATATAATATTGTAATTAATAATATTCAGAAGAGGATCTATGACTTCTCGAAGAACCTCTTTCAATACCTTAGATGGAACAGGGTCTAACACATGTTGTTGGTTTTGATGATTTGACAAGTTTATGCAATTCTTCCTCTCCTATAGCAGAGAATGAGTGGAATTGTTCCTCAGGGGATCTATAGTGCACTGTCTGATGCGGTATTGTAGCTGACGGCTGCATGGTTAGAATTTGATCTCTAATAGTATCGATTTTGGAAGTAAAGAAGTTCAAAAAGTCATTACTGCTGTGCTCTTGGGAAATGTCTGCATCTGTTGATGCTTTATTTTTCATTAATTTAGCCACTGTATTGAATAAATCCCTGGGATTGTGTTTGTTTTCTTCTAAAAGAGATGAAAAGTAAGCAGATCTAGCAGTTTTTAGAGCTTTTCTATAAGTAGAAGTACTTTCCCTCCATGCAATATGAAATAACTCTAGTTTTGTTTTCTTCCAGCTGCGCTCCCTTTTCCGGGCTGCTCTCTATAAGGCACCAGTGTGCTCTTTATACCACGGTGTTGGACTGTTTTCGTTAATCTTCTTTAAGTGTAAAGGAGCAACCATATCTAAAGTGCTAGAAAAGAGTCATGTAGATTATTTACAAAGCAGTCTTTTGTTGTATAAATGATGGTTCTACCATATCTGTAACAATGAGTTGAGTTTGCAGCTTTAGCTTTATGGAGTATACACAAGACTAGATAATGATCCAAGATATCATCACTCTACTGCAGAATTTCAACACCATTAACATTAATTCCATGTGACTGTATTAAATCTAAAGTATGATTACAACAATGAGTTGGCCCTGACACATGTTGTCTAACCCCAATAGAGTTCAGCATGTCTATAAATGCTGATCCCAATGCATCTTTTTCATTATCAGCATTGATATTAAAATCGCATACAATTAAGACTTTATCTGCAGCCAGCACTAACTCAGATAAAAAAAATCATCAAATTCTTTGATAAAGTCTGTATGGTGCCCTGGTGACCTGTATACAGTAGCCAGTACAAATGTCACAGGGGATTTATCATTAACACTTATTTCTCTAGATAATGACATATAAAGCACCTTTACTTCAAATGAATTATACCTGAAACCAGAGCTCTGAGAAATACTGAAAATATTACTATAAATTGTATCAACACCTCCCCCTTTACCTTTTGGATGTGGCTCATGTTTATAGCAGTAATCTTGGGGGGTAGACTAAGTTAAAGTAATGTAATCATCTAGTTTTAGCCAGGTTTCTATCAAACAGATATCTAGGTGAAAGAGTCTTTATGTGCTGAGAATTAACTGGCTTCTGTTACTTGAGGCGGTTAGCAGACGATTGGTTTAGCCAGTCTGTCTGCTTCCTGACCTTGGCCCAAGTTAGTCATAGTCTAAGACTATGTGCCATATTTCTAGAGAGAAGAGCGGCACCACCCCTGGAGGGATGAAGACCATCTCTTTTCAACAGGTCAGGTCTGCCCCAAAAACTCGTCCAATTGTCTATGAAACCTATGTTATTCTGCGGGCACCACTTAGACATCCAGCCATTGAGTGACGACAGTTTGCTATGTATCTCGTCAGCACAGTAAGCAGGGAGGGGACCAGAGCATATTACAGTGTCTGACATCGTATCGGCAAGTTCACACACCTCTTTAATGTTATTTTTAGTTATCTCCGACTGGCGAAGTCGAATATCATTAGTGCCGACGTGAATAACAATCTTACTGAATTACATTTAGCATTAGCCAGCACTTTTAAATTTGCCAAGATGTCAGCCACTCTGGCTCCCGGTAAACATTGGAC